TCTCTTGTCACGTCTTAATGACCTAAATGTCGTTACTCTTCATAGCAAGCCGTTAATCTCCTGTTGGCATCCCACTGTGCCTCATTTGCGAAAACCCTCACGCCAAGGTCGCCGTTATCCGGTGCAAAACTAGCCTGCAATTTTATGACCCGAATTAAATATCCTTGAGAACTTGGCCTATTCATTGAAATGGTATACCTAAGTTTTTATGCAAATCAATCAGTCATCAGACGTATAATTTTCTATATCTTCTGTGACAAACATCAATAGCAATGAGTACATTTTGATAGCTGCCCAATGTTCTCTAGTACTTTTCTTTTGACATTGCTCCTCGAGCTCCACCATTTTATTCAACGTTTTCCATTTCAAACTTGCATGCAGTATCTATACTGCTCAATACAGAACCATCCTGCATCAACAGGCACGAAATTTTTGTCGTATATAGAGTTGGGCGACTATATGATTATCCTTATTCTAGATTAGAACATCATCCACGTTGAGATTTTGGTAGTTCTTCTTCGTTTTTGTTTTCACCAACCTTTCTGATTGTACCACGCAATAGATTAATCGACATGATTCCTGTCCCGTGGAAGAACAGCCTTGGCAAAGCAGCAGTGTTCGGTCACAACCACATGGGTCATGGAATCTTTAGTGTATGGATACGTATCAAGGGGAGAAAAAACATTGTGGTCGCTGGAACTTGATAGGATAGTTCACCCATGTACTGATTCAATGTATCATACTTAACACAAGAATCAAGATTAAGTTGAGAGTAACATTGCAACTTCGTTATAATGATGAAACTCCACTCAGAAGACCTTCCGCATTTCGGAACAATTTCAAAAATTTGAAAATTTGGAGCGGCAGCGGTGATTGACCTATGATTCCGGAACCATGGCTCATAATAACTTATATCTTATATCTTAAGACAAGGTTTGAGAAAGACTGAGGTGCAGTTTCTAAGTATATGTAAGTTTGGGTAATTAGTTTCATCTAGGCAGTAGCGACAATGAGCAGGATTTCAAAGTCGTTTTTCATCATTTTGATTTCACGTTCTCAATCCTACTTTTATCATTGAGGGTATGAAACGCTCGTTCAATTAAGCTGCGATACTGCTGTAAATGATCCCTTTCTGACATAGTAATTATTCAAAAATAACATGCATCTGATTCACTTTGCCATCTCATGCATGCATTGACATGAATGCATATGGTCATGCAAGCTCATCAAAGCATAACTATTCATTTTCATCTAAATTATTATCTGGTAATTGTTCAGCATTCATGGCCGACTCAGTGAATAAATCATTCTGTTTGGTTCATTGAATGAATCAGCGAGTGACTCATGACGATCTTATCTCACATGAACGACTTGAGCATTTTCGGTCGCTTTCTACAGTTTGAACACGACAAGAGTCAAATGTTCACCAATTCCCGGCTTTTACTCATCTCCATTGTTTCCAATTTTTCTTTAGGGTAGCCACTCTCAACGAAAATTGGACTTCTAAAAACTTTGAAATTACCAGAATTTTATATACGTTTTGTTTTGTATCTTAGAGAATCATAATTAATATATGTTGTTCTACTTATTCTTCTACTCTGCCTCTGTAATCAGTTCTGATTATTGCTTCTGGCACATATCAACATATAACTCTTCGTTGGACGGCTTTACTGTACTATATGAACTTCAAGTTGTAATTTCGTCGTTGGAAAATGTTCAGATAGTCGAATTGAGACACATACATCGTGGAAAGCAAACTTACGGCGTTATTTCTCTGAGGATAGTTATGTTCGTCATTTTTGTCGTCTATAAGAAGTTTTCACGCAAATTCATTTTTTTCTAATCAATCAAAACCCGATCACTTAGTCTTTCCTATTATCTCAATTCAATACCCGGATAATAAAACTATAATAATTGAAAAGTTTTTTGATTATGAATTAACGAATAAGTGCTACTAGATTCATATTTCTGCCACTTTCCTCCTTTTCGATCTTTAGTGACATTACCTCCACTCAACGAACGATATTAACAATAATACTATTGCCTCGATTAGGTCGAAGCAAAAATACTTGCGGTTTCAGAGCGCCCGAATCCGCAGTTGCCTTTTCAATTTGCGCCAAATGGCGACAACTTTGGAATAGTCGACGTTAAGTTCTTTTACAAGATCTCATATAGTCTTAAAAAGATTGGTGCTAAGTTAATCCCCTCCAAAACTCTGTGACAACCAATCAGCAAACGACCCCAGCATGGCTATAGATGAAATCGCGAAGAGATGAAGTTCATGCAAAGACGAAATCCTCAAGCAAGCGATGAATGAGAACAGATTGATTTAAGGCTAGAGGTGATAGGGTCCGCACAATAAATTGTGCACACGGATCATGTAAAAACAGAAAAATAAGTGAAAGTGCTTATAATTCTTCTCGATGAGCTAATACCATAAGATTGTTACGAAAACTTTATTCGTCTAACGTTTTGACGTCCTCGCTATCTTGAAATCCAATGATTCGAGTCGATTTTTCACGGCCGTAAGTCATCGCGTTGTGTTCCATTGTTGTCGCTCGAGTTTTCTTCGATGGAATCTTGCTAGAATGAACTAACCTTACTCGGCGATGTCCTTGTATACAAGATGGTTCTCATGTCGCTATTTCTTCGGTGAATTTTCTCCTTTCGCGTCCACTTCGAGGTATTAGTTCAATAATCAAAGAACGATAGCAAATAACCACAACGCTGGGACGACCGACTATGAGCAATCGACGCGGATCATCGACTCTGAAGAAGACGAAGACGTTGAAACGTTAGCCAGATAAAGTTATTGTATCACCCCCGTGATGTTAGCTCAATCATCAATGAAGATAGTAGCGATCGTTATTAGTTAATGGAAAGTTGTTTCTCAAACTGTCGTTCGTATCATTACTTACTAATGGGAACTATCCAGAGCAGCGTTGGAGGTGCGGTGCATTACACGCCTAGTCGATGGTACGATTCCGTGTCCATGATTCACTAACATTTCTGTCCCTTCAAGGCCGACAAAGAGGTGCCATACGTGTCTTTGCGTATGGTAGCAGCGAGTCGATACATCAGTAGGTAATGGCGAGTCTTTGTAAAGGTCAGACATGCATTAAACCATCTAGAACCATGCATGAGATGGTCAAAAGTATGGCATATACCTCAGAGTTTTATTAACGTCGTTTGCTATTATTCTTAATAGTTTTTTTGGTATATTACTAACTTTACTCCCATTAATAGCACCACCATTATTTCTGTGTTATGATTGCCACTATTGATTTTTATTACTATTACCACATAAGAATGCCCATGCCCGAGTGCTTGTGATGCTCGTCGCGGGTGGCGTGGAGCCCAGTTCCACCTCCAACTCTTTTCGGTAGTCAACAACAACGTCTTATGGGAGGCCACAGCCAGGTTATCTCCGAAATTACAAGGAGATTCGCTCATCCGGTATTCTACGACGCTCAAGAAGAAGACAAAACAAGGAATTGATATGCTTGAAGTGGTGGGATCCGCACAGTGGAAAAAAAAAACACTCTGAAGACGGAACAAAAAAGTGCTCAAATTGCTATTACATAAAAGGCCTCGTGAATTCATATCATTGCCTGTGTGATTAGGCAGATTGAATAGCGTGTGCTGATTTCAATGCGCGTCCCTTTAGTTCGACTATTTCTGGACTGACAAGTTTTTCAGTACAAACCACAGACAAAATTTGCTGTTACTACAATGTCTTTCGGAACTAATCTAATCAGATAACTGTTTCGTTTATTTCATGACTTGTGAAGAGTCTAACACGATTTCAATGCAACGAGAAATCAAACTGAAAGAGATCAAATCTGGAAATGGCCTCTGGTTCAAACCGGTGCCTCGACAGCAGTTCGGTTCCTCTAACAAGGCGGGGCGGTCATCAAATGCTTGTAGTTTCATTTACTCGTCGTCTCACGCGGGGCTAGTTTTCCTCTGTTATCGCCGTTTTATTGCACTTTTCATTATTTTTTTTTCTTTTCTTTATCAAGGAAGGTCACATTTGTGGCCTGGAAAAACGAAAACGGATAGATGAAAAGTCTGTGATTTTCTCCATTTATTAAAAAAGCATCGGTAAACGAATAAATGGGAAGAAGGGTGAAAAGGGCAGTGAAGTGCGCCATTTGCTAATTTCTAGCCAGTTTTACAAAGCAAAAGGGTGAAAGCGAAGCTGTAATGATGTGCCTCGAACACTCATTTCGGGAGATAACTAATCATATTTGCAAACTAAAGGAGAAGGACCGAAACGTCATTGAGATGCTCCAATTACTCATTTTAGACGAGTTACTGCATGGTTTTCCATTTACTGACTTGATAGTGCGTACCGGTTGTAATGGAGAACATTCGCATCATATTATTTGTATCAGTCGGCGCAGTTCTTATTCCTTATTGCTTTTTTGCGTCCCGCTAGATCGGATTTAATGAAAACTGATGCCGTATAGAACTATAAAAATTTCTTCATACGTGGCGCATGTTCTAATCAGATAAAGTTTGAATTCTTCGTTTCGTGCCAATTGATGGTTTAGCCCTTATTAATCGGCTGCTACAACCGTATTTATCCAGTCTCTATGCATTCTTTTCATAGGACAATTGACTGGTCCTAAACTTTGGCGTAATGAATGATTACCGTCAAACAGCGAGGCTAGTTCGCCCAAATCTATTCATTCATGTTGAGTTCTCCTCATATGATGATCAAGCTGGACGTGAGATTTGACGATCGCATCACAGCTGAATTTCAACTGAAGAACTTGACCATTTTGTGTGAACGTCATGATGATGTATAACATTCTAATACACTCGCTCAATCATTTGGTTATCAACTGTTTACTTTTTCGGATTGAGCTGCTTGATAGAATTGCGATGAAACTTGCTCTGAAAAATGTCCGAGATTTCTAGTGTTTTTATGCCTTTTTTGCAGTGTTATGATGTTTCATATATACCTAAGAGATTTGAGTGATGAGCAAAAATACAACCTAGCGGGAGTCGAACCCGCGTTTCATCCAAACCGGGGACACGTGTCACCACTGCACCACCAAGGTGCATTCGCTTCACCACTCATTCTTCAACATCTCTACGATAGCTGTCCCTCAGTTCTTCGAAATATGTTCATAAAAAATCAATATAATCAATCTTCCTTTGAATCAATGGTACTTTCATACTGTAATGTGCATTTCTCAGAGGAAAGATATCTAGAAGAATATTCAGCTGTAAAAGAAACCTTCACTTTGAAATTTTGTATGTTTGACTTCTTTCCTTGGATTCATTGTGAATAAACTTTCTGTCTTCTGATCATGAAAACCTTGATTGGATGCTTCAAACAAAAGGATTGTTGTGGATACTCGATTACTATGTTTGGGTATTAATTAATATACTAAGTAATAATGATAATAAGTATTGGGTTTAATTTAAGGTATTGAAAATCCAAGGAATAAATCAAGTTCATTGTCAATTGAGATAAAATAAACTTTGCCGTTAGTATATCATTCTGATGCAAATCGCATGAGAATGACGTATGTGCGGCGCAATCTGCAGAGCGTTCCTAAAAATTTTCAATAATAAAGATTTTTTTGTAATTTCTACCTCTTCTGATTACCACTTTTGTTGTTATTATTTCATACTAGATCAATCTTTTGATTTTTTCAGTCGTTCAAATTTTTTATTTAGAAATGTGTTACACTATGTTCCATTCGACTCCATTGATAAAATCTTAGGTGTGATCAAGTGCACGTCTATTCTATAACACTGGATTGTAAGGGAATATCAAATATCACCTTACTTTATTCCTTATTTTCACTGGCAAGTCATCTTCCACGCCTAGGTTTTTTGACTTGCGCGAGAATTGGTATGAAGCCGACGGCTTTATGCATATTAAGGAACACTTTTAAAAAATCTGACCACTGCGTTATAAACGCCGCATTATTAATTGAGGTACTTTTCCGTTAGACGTGACTGGATGAAGAAACGATCCCTCTCGCTTGACGAGAACTTTTTATTAGAGTGTTAGCAATCATTCTAGAATTTAAATCTTTGGCTAGTGCCGTATGTGGCCGTTTTCGAAAAAGTCTTTCAATAACGTTTTAGCGAAAGAAAAGCATTTGTGTTTCACAGCGCGTATTTCTCGCAGGACAGAGCTCTTCCTTTAGACTGTTAGTAAACATTCAATAGACTAGGTACCCTCGATTCCAAGCTGTGCTTATTTTCTGAAAAAGCCGTTTCACTGTAGTTTAACACGGAAAATAAGACCGACTTTCACATTTTCAAAGCGCTTGTTCACCGGCTAATCTACGGTAAGGTGGAGGCCGCCCTAAAATCAATGCTGCGGACCGCTATCGATTGATGGAAATACGTTATCCTGTCACACATAAAGTGCGATTTTTGCCATTCGATTAGGAACTATTTTTCTGCTTCGAAAGAAACTTCATATTAAACGTGTGACTCTGATACTACGAGATTTTCTCTAGACGATGATATGCTTTTTATTCTTCCAATAAAGTAATGTTACAATGGCGCTGCCGATATAGAACATAGTTCTTTCAAATTTCACAGCGCTATTGAAGGATTTTTTTAAAAACAGTTACGTATGGCACTAGCCAGAGATTTAAGCTTTCGAATGATTGCTAGCACTCCTATAAAATATTCTTTTACGGCGAAAGGAACGCTTCTTCACCACATGCCGTCTAGGGGAAAAGGAACTCTATTGATACATGTCCAGTATGTTGTAGCTTGCTATCAAATATGACAACGAATTCTAATATGCTAGACCTTTTAAGCTGTGTTCTGCTTTTGAAGCATGTTCCGCTATGGAAGACTATGAAAGTAATCGTTCTGAAACGAATCTCTTCTTATAAGTAATGTAGTTTTTGGTTTGCATTATTTCCGAAATAGCTTTACAATAGTCAACTTCCTGTAGTCTGGTAGGACAGGAGCCTCGTTTTTGCAAATATTTGGCAGGTGCACTCGAAAGGCGAAATCAGGCTCAATCCTCGTATGAGGTTTGGAGCTTTGCATAGTACTCTACATTATCAAATATATAATTATAACATCATAAGAATTCTAGTTTCTGTAATCTGCTGTTAGTAATCGTAAACAATTGGTAGACAGGCATCGCACTGAAAACATCGTAAAGCTTTTGTTCACTGGCATCGTAACCAGTTTTGCTGTTGTTTGGTGATCGGGATGAATGGACTCTTTTTTGCCTCATTCATATTGACATCGTTTTTCTTCGCTCCTTTTTTGTTTATTTTTCTTTCTCAGCACTTCCATCACAAAGGTCATCGTAGAGCGTTAAATCACGAGTGATGCATGGTCCCATTGTTGACACCCGACAAAGTGTAAACCATCGCCCTCTGAAGACTATTCCGTGACGTGCGTCGTTTCATCTACGCCATTGTGACGCACATCTCGTATGTTGACAACCTGACGAAGTGTAAACTCTCGGCTAGCAGTCAGTCTGAGTTCAACATCGCTTAGTTGGTTCTGAAGCTTTTTGTTTCATGTTTGCGGATCCGATGTTTCTTCAGAGGTCGTAAAATCTGCAATATAAACATGACTTCTCAATATTGATGATCGTCACGACAACTGACACCACTTATTTCAGCTAACACTGGACTGTTGTCTTTGTCCTCTGTATAACGACATTCTATTGAAATACTATCTATCAATAATATGATTCTGAATTGATCTGATTCTTTTCGTAACACATTGTCTTCAAATATTACAATAAAATCAGTATTGGCTAACTGTTCGATGGTTTTTTTCTATGCGATACGCTTCGTTTATTTCTCATCCTTCGTTTCTCTCTGTTGTTCCTTAGTCAGATGTTATGTAAAAAAATGCAGGTAGTGGAAGTTACACCAACGTCTGTAATAATGGAAATGAAATAAACTAGTCAGTGCCACGATGTTGTAACTATATCCAAGAATGTCGAAAAAAGAATGAAAACAAAACTTCGAATCACGAGCGAGAGTTGAACCCGCGTTTCAATCATTTCGAGGACGTCTACTAACCACTGCACTATCGGGGTTTTAATCTGCTATACTTTGACGCCGATATATGCTCACCAATAAAGCCCGTTGACGGTCGGTTGCTGTCACCTCCGGTAGCTTGTATCGCAGGAAGCGTGATAGTAAAACCGGAGTCCGATAGTGTAGTGGTTAGCACACTCTAGCGAAAGTGGTGAGATATGCGCTCAACTCTCGTGCGAAATTCGAAGTTTTGCACATCACTCATATCATCGCCACACCATATTTCATCCTCAATCAGCTTTCCCAACTACTGAAAAGCTACTGCTCAGTATTATTGAGCTTATACGAATCTGATAAAATGGGATTTAATTGGCTAACGTTCTTTGAGTTGTCAGATCATGTTGAGAAGCTTTTCCTTTCTTTCTTCCTTATTTTTCTCTTCTCAACTTGAATAGAAAAAGTTCTTCCTACTATTTTTCAATAACAAAGTATGAGTGAGAAAGAAAAAGAAGTGGAAAAAAAGATTAAAGTCCAGAAGAGAAAACACGTCGTTATTCTATATAGTGTTAGTTCAGAGTGTTTTGAACTGGAACACACGCGTCTGTCATGGTGCGTAAGTTCAAATTCAGTTCAAATGAAACAATTAAGCTCAAACAGTGCGCCCTTTAGAACTCGTAGATCAGCAGAGATTGCCAATTTCTTAACGAAAAAGAAAAAATGAAACACAAGAAGGAAACGGTTGTGAAAAATTCGTTTTGAGCTCTTAATAGACTGATTGAAATTATATCTCTACTTTTTCCAAAGATTTGACGTTATTTTCTCCAGTTTTATGTTTTTTTTCTACTTGAATTTTTTGAAATATGATTTATGTCTTAACAAACTTTGAGTGTAATATACTTCGCGCTTTCCTCCAGACCTTTGATAACCGTTCCTTGGCTTAAAACGGTGATTTAAGCCTTCTTTTGAGCTGTATCAGCCAAGAAAATTACTTTTCACCTTCGGCGCGAAATCCTTGCTGGACTAGCTCCTGTATTTGGCTATTCAATAGACTTTTATTAGTCATTCAATGAGTTGAGAAACGGCGATTCTCAAACTAGACTTTTTTGAGAAAGCCTATTAAGTGCGCTGTGAGAACGAAAGAAAGATCACATTTCGCACTCGGATTAGTTCGTCCGTTGCTCAAAGTTCATAGTGAGTGTATCTGGTGATACGGAATAAAAATCAAAGTTAATATGCATATAACGATATGGCAAAGTCTCGTCTTCAGTCTTATGGAGGTCTCACTTTCTGAAGTACTCAAATAATCGGAAAATTGTTGAAAATTATCGATGAACTGACACAACATACAACGGGCAGCATCACTTATTTTGCTAATTTGCATTACTTTCTAATCTCTTACATATCTCATATGTACACAAAATATGGACGATGTCTAAAAAAGATAGATCATCAAGAAAATGCGAGAAAGCTCGAAATTTCTGCGAAACGGGAAGAAAATTCCTAGGCAAATAACGAAAATCGGGCCGTGTGTAGCGAATTTATCTGGGGTCCCGAAAAAGCACGATTTGCATTATTTCATTGCAATATTTTTCAAAATCGGAAAAATTTTTGCTCTTCTTGTAATCTGATACTGCACAATTTCCTTTACGCACTCATGTTCTTTTGGTGTTACAAAAATTAACTTCAGGTGTGGAATGTAATATTTTTTGCTTTGTTACACCACGTTATGAAATGCTTTCTGAAAGCAGATTGAGTTTCAAAGAACCGTTTCTCATAACATCGAATGAATGTTAAAACTCTAGTGAAAGGCCAAGCACAGACGACGACTATACAAACAATACGCACCGAAGGTGAAAGTTAATCTACTTCTGACTGCTATAACGCACTAAGGAGGTTTTTCAGAAACCAAGCTAGCATTGAAATCAACGTTCTGAAGCTATGAAATGGTTACTGAAAGTCTGGAGGGAAAAGTCTGTTCAGTGAAAAAGGCTTCCAAAGTGTCGTGCATACAGAAAAAATGAATGCTGTCCACAAACGGTCAAAGAAGGGATAAGATCGTGATGGATAAAACACTC